ATACACTAGGGCGTCCGTAGTGTAGGATAAGCACTGGTAAAAGGTATCAAGAATAGAGTGTCTTGAGGAAATAGCCGGTGTATGGTTATAGCAAGCCTGGGGGGTAAATTTACCACCCGCTTATGCATGCATTAGGTTAGAAATATATAGGGGAACAACTTGTAACGGTGAAGTACAAGTCCTATGCAGCAAGCAGCAGCCAGCAGCAGCAGCAGCAGCAGCAGCAGCCGCCTGCAGCCAGCAGCCAGCAGCCAGCAGCAACCACCAACCAGCAGCCAGCCAGCAGCGCCACGCAGCAGCAGCGCAGCATCAAGCCGCAGCAGCAGCAGCACCACCGGCAGCAAGCACCACCGGCAGCAAGCACCACCGGCAGCAAGCAGCAAGCAGCAGCAGCAAGCAGCAAGCAGCAGTAGCAGCGGCGTCGTCAGCCGCAACAAGTAGCAAAGCAGCAGCTACAAAAGCGGCAACCAGCGGCAGCAGCAAACAGCAGCAGCAAGCAGCAGAGCGGCAGCAGCAGCAGCACCCTTTACACCAAGCCACCGTTTACACCCAACCAACCACGTTCAACCAACCCCCTACACGGCGCAGCTGGGAGTTGAACCGCGGGGGGGGGGGGTTAGCTTGATATATCAATCTTTAAGGCACGCAGCCCCTCCCACCACAACATTGCTAAAGCAAAGAAGAACTCAGCTAGCATGCTAGCTTTCGTGACTTGCAAAATCGCTCTTTGACAGTTCAAGGCCGCATTAGAGTCATTAGAGATGAAGATGAGAGCTGCTTGGACGTGCAAGTGCCTGAAGCTTTGGAAAAGGCAAGAGGCTGGAGATTCAATGAAGCATGGACTGCAGTTGGAAGCTTATTGACTTCAACATTTGTGGATCCCACAGTCATTCCAGAAGTGGAAGAGTCACCAGAGTTGATGAGAACCACTTGGGTGAAAGAGGAAGTCGATGGCTAATGCCTCAATATTGTTATAGCATGATGATAAAGGAGGAACTTGATGAGCATTTCTTTGATGATGACGCAGTCATTCCTTCAATCACAATCTTCAGCTATGAGCCAGCACAACCAGAGGATATGGTATTTTTTGCGGCAGGATACAAGAATCTTGAGAACAGAGATGATAGGAGGAAAAGAAGTGGAGCGGGCAATCGTACAAATTACCTCTACTTCACCGGAGAAGGGTGTAGAAGGTCAGAAAGAAGAACAGAAAAGAAAGATGAAGACCTTAAATGTGAACTACAATTCATCATACGTCACACGTCTCCCAGTGAGTGCAACTCCACGCTCACTTTTTCTTTCACGCTCTCACGCATTCACCATAAGTCTCCCAGTGAGCGCTACTCCACGCTCACTTTTTCTTTCGCGCTCTCACACATTCACTTCCGTGTTATGGTACAACCCCGCCCTGGGAATAATGCGCTGGTACGTCCTGAATCCTCAGGACCTCCTCCCTGGTTGCACCATCCCTCGACACCAGGATGAATCAGCAACCAGATTCGAAAACCCCCAAAGCATTTCACCCCAACGCATTTTACAGGAATTCTCCCAAGCGAACAGCTGCTCGCAACGGGAGGAACCATAGCAACACCGGCAAGCGTGCGAGAGCCCATGAAAAACCATGGGAGCGGCGCCGTTCGTCTAGGGATCCTTCTCGGCTGATTGCATCGGCCCAATTGGATTTGGATGGCGCCCACTCCCAATAAATCCAACGTCTCAACGAGAAGAGCAACAGGTGGATTAAACTGCTCATCCTTTCAAGGTCTCCACTAGCCGAACGTCCTTTGATAAGGGACATGAGGGCGGCTGTATTATCTATGTACCAAACACCGCTACGCCCGCAAAACCGCTCAGGAACCGTAACCAGGGCAATCAGTACTTGAAGTAGCTCTAGTTGCGCAATCCCAGAGACCAAATCTGGTACATGAGGCCCGGGATAACCCAAACGTTCTTGGACAAGGCCATTGAAGAACACCAGAAGAAAGCCCCTGGTACCCTGCTGCGGGATCTCCAACGACGCAGCATCCGAAGCGGCCACAAACCGAGGGCGCTCGCGAGGAATGATATCGATCTCCCGGGCTGGGTGCATCTCAAAACAGCATCAAACACCGCAAAGCAAGTCTCCAGCTCAGAGGTGAGCATCCTACCCTTGGACAACTGACGCTGTTTGATGGCGCCTAAGCCACTGCAGCCAATGCGACCATACATGCCCTGCTCCAAGAAATTTGCCAGACCATAGATCTTGGACGCTTGTCCAGGAGAGAGCACCCGGTCGCTCCAGGCCTTGGAGATCATCTGTCAAAGTTTCTCATGGAGCTTGTCTCTTGCCCAAACGGAAACATGCCCGCGGCATTGGTCAGATCATGGGTTAAGCCAAGGAAGGTCCCAGCAGCTGCCATAGGTTGCCTTTTGTCCGGGGAGAATGGAGTGCCGAGTAACTCGTTGAGGGTTTCAAATGCCCATTGGCTGGAGCGCCAATCGGTCAGCGAAGCATCATCTCAAAGTATAGACTCACCAAGGGGCGACAAAAACGCCGCCCCCAGAGCCTCAACTAGACGAGAATATCGGTTGAAAGACGTCACCGCCAGTGGAAGACCAAAGAGGAGACCTGCATAGACTTGGTACGCCGGCTCTTTCCGCTCATGATGGTAGAACACGACCACGCAGCCAAGGGTATCACACTCTCGCATGGGCGAATGGCAGTAGGCATCGACCTGTCTCCCAGGCGTCGGTCTGAGCTGCCTCCTGCTGCTGTGCCACCGTCATGGCGGCCAGGGTGGCCTGAATGCGCTGCGCCGGCCGCAGGGGTGAGCAGAGAACCAAGTTTAAATCGGTAGAGTACATTGTTTGCCCGCCTTGGTCAGCATTGTCGATGATGCGCTGCTTCCCTGAACTTTGGGTGGTGACACAACGTGGTATCAAACGGTATGCTTTCTTTTCAGCAGAAGCCATCCCAGTCCTGCACAAGGGGGAGCTCAAACAAGTAGTGAGGCCAACAGCTGCACTGCGTGAACTCACCGCCTAAGGTGTCAAGGACAAGGGTCTCGACAAGCAAGAAGAGACGGGTGTAGGTGTAGTGGATGAAGGTTAGGTTGAGGTGGTGGTTGTTGTAGTAGCGAAGTGGCGCGGGAGCTCCCTGGCCGGGAGCTCCGCTACCAATGTCACTTTCTGGTAGCCGGAGCTGTAGAAAGTAGTAAGTGGACACACTAAGTTCCAAACCAGGTAAACAAAGCGGCCGCACACGAAGTCAACTCGCTCTTTTCTCAAAGTGCCATGGCGTCAAGCTCATGAGTCCCACCGCTCTGCGTGGGTCCAGGTGGAGCCAAGGTGCATCAAACAGCATACCATGGTTCTGTGATCCATGGTGGACAAGATTTCATCTCGAAATCGACAATAAGTTATGTTCAATCCAAAATAGTCAAGGGGAGGGAATAGCAAAAAGTTTTCCCAACAATAACATTCCCACACCCTGAATAGTTTATGGGGGAGTAATAGAAAGTGTCTTTCTCCGGCAAGGTGTTTTTAAATCAGGTTTTCAGGTGTTTTGATTAATCTCGACTTCTATCACTGCTCTTTCAAATTCTTACTTAGCCTCTTCCAGGGTTTTGCTTGATTTCTGGAACTCTTCTGACCTGCAAGTTGTTTACTCACTCTCCCTCAGGTGCTTGCCTTTGGGGGGGGATGGTTTATTGTATATTCAAATTCCAACATTACACACAAACCGTTAATGTTGCTTCCGCCGCTAAAGGTTCCTCAATGAGGCACTATGTTTGTCTAAACAGCAAGCCTGCAAGGAACAAGTCCTAAAAAGGCATTGGATGAACCATGCATCCGGCAACAAGAATGCACGCGATGCAGACAAAGATTTTGGGCTCGAACCTGCAGTCTCTCCCAGCAGCCACAAAATGAGCTCAAGGTGCCGAAATGCATCCTGCACATTGCACTGCAAGTGCTGAGCAACACAAAATGTGCGCGGCAAGAAATCATCCGAAAAGTTGCCGAACCCAGATGCTGGGCCTGTCAGTACAAGTGCTTGCAAGCTCTGCGTCCAAGTTGTTTCAACGCATTGTCTCTTTATTGCACAGTCCTTCTTCCTTCTATATGTTCTCTTTGTTTTTCTCTTTGTATTCTTTAGTGGGCTTCAAACGCCGTTTTTTCGACTATTCCTGGAGTGGATTGAAGCAACATTTCGATACATTTTGATAGATGCTATTCTGCGCAGCAAGTCCTGCTGCTCTTCTGTTTCAGGTGTTCAAAGCCTGCTAGAGCGCAATGTAGTTGGACATTAGTCATTTGGAGAGCGATGTCTGTTCTTGATATTTGGATTTTAAAGGGATGTCGTCGGCCTCTTGCAGATCTTCAGCACTTGGTGCTGGCAAAAATCTGCTCCGCACTCCCCAAAATCGATTGGTTTGCAGAATCTGCAGAACAAATCTGTCTGCCACGGTTGAGAATCCGGTGCAGGAATCTTGCTCTACGCACTTTCGCCATGAGTCAAAAAGCACTTTTTGGATGTAGAGTCAGAGGTTGCAGATTTTACAAATAATGTCGCGACGCTAGTCGGAGCTGATTGCATCAACAATGCAAAACTTGCAACCAAAAACAGCTCAGCTAGGAATCGGTCAACGGGTCAACGACATGTCTATATACAGGATCTAGTCTACAAAGAACAAAGATCCACAAACATCTTCCGACAGGACAAGGTCTATATCAATGAAAGAGATGAGAACCGCAACAGGAACTTGCTCCGTGGGATTAAATGTCCTTCAGGTGACTTCACTGGGTGACTGCATCCCTCTCTATAATTCTGTCGTTTACACTAAACTTCTACACTTGCACCTGCCTCGGCCCCTGTAGGAACAGCGTGCCGGTATGCAATGAAAAGAGCCGTGGCAAGTCCATACAAACCTTAGAGCAGTGTGTAATGCCTCATTCACAGCTATCAACATGTCCAAGCTGCATATGTGGCCGCGCTCTGCTCCACGTTGGTTTTCAAGAATAAAACCCCCAGAGGGCCCACGTGGAAGGACCTCAGAATGTGCGAACGGAAGCGATGCACTTGCTACTAGTAGTTTCTTGTTTCTACTTGAGAGCATGGAGACACGAAAGGTAGGACAGCGGGAAAAGAACGCGAGAGGCAGGAACAAAAATGCAATGTTCGACATGGTGATTTATCCCCTCGGAGGCGACCTTTCGTAAATATAATTTCATACGCACTCTAAATGTTCAAACATATGCTCTCGAAATGTTCAACAAGATTCTCAGGAAAACTAGACGACGAGTGGCCCGAAAGCACTTTTCATCACGTAGGAAGTCAGAGTGTGAGTTATCTGTTAAGTGTTCAGTGTGAAGTGTTAAGTCGAGTGAGTTGAGGCAGTGTGTGGGTCTCTGTATGTGTGTATCTATGTCTGTGTGTGTATGAGTCTCTGTCTGTGTGTGTGTCCGAGTAAGTTGAGGCAGTGCGTGGGTCTCTGTGTGTGATGTGTGTGTATGAGTCCCTGTCTCTGTGTGTGTCTATGTCTGCTGCTGGTGAAGGTCTTCACTGTAGATATAGTGAAGGATATTTACGAGAAGCTTATGGGGTGTGTTGAAACTTCTTGCAAGTACATTCTCCATTGCTGTTGACTTGCTTTACGTTCCTGGCTACGATCTGGTGCTAGCTGGCCCAAGTTCTATGGAGACTTGTGCAATCTCACTTTGAGCACCAAAAGGTAAGCTATGCAAAATGCACAAATGCATGGCAGCCACACCGCTCTCCAGGTAACGTTTTCTTCACTTGAGATGTAGTTCACCAACCACTATACTGGTCATTTTCTCATCGACTGTCCCAAAAAACAAAAACGTGCCCAAGTAGCTTCAGGTGACACGCAGCAGCCATTGCCTATATCTTCGCGCGCTCTCTGCTCAGCTCGCGACTAGCCTGTGTATACGGGAAAGATTCCCCGAAAATATGACTAGCAACGTCCTTGTTGTCCTTCCGCCGAACGACGTCCGGCTGGAACGACTCGGTGCCACTCCAGGTCTAATGTGAGTTTTGTGTTAAGTGTGACGTGTTCAGTCTAGTGTGTCGAGTCCGTGTGTGGGTCTCTGTGTGCGTGTCTATGTGTGTATCTGCGTCTGTGTCTCTGCGCAGGCTGTAGACGTCCACGCGCAGATGACACGGCAGCACAACAGTCTGGCGCAGGAGCGCCCACCTCTCTCGCTGCGTCCGCGCAACGCTGAATAGGTCCACCGCACACTGTTCGCAGTGACAGTGTGGATGCGCAGGTGCGACATACATGTCACGAAGAAAGGGCAATTGCCCTGGATTTGGTCAATGGGCTCCACCGCATTCCAATGCACAAGATTGAGGTCTTGCAGACCAACGTTTCTGCCAAATTTAAAGATGGATCCTGTCTTGAGGAGTGCGAGTGTCAAATAGACTTGGGGGAGCTCGACCCCAGCACGCACCCGAATTTTGTGCTGAAAGCACAAGATTGAGTTCTTGCAGGCCAACGTTTCTGCCAAATTTAAAGATGGATCCTGTCTTGAGGAGTGCGTGTGTCAAATAAATTTGGGGGAGCTCGGTCCCAGCACGCACCCAAATCTTGCGCTGAAACTCACGCGGGCCGGTCGCAGCGACCTCTATTGGACTCTCGACCACGCGCGATCTCCGCAGAGGGTTGCGCGCACACCGGACAGATCGCACTCTCGCCTGCATTTCGCGCACTCGACACGCGCGATCTCCGCAGAGGGTTGCGCGTGGACCGGACAAATCGCACTCTCGCCTACATTTCACGCACTCGACACGCACGATCTCCGCAGAGGGTTGCGCCGGGATGGGACAAATCGCACTCTCGCCGGCATTTCGCGCACTCGACACACACGATCTCCGCAGAGGGTTGCGCGCACACCGGACAAATCGCACTCGCGCCTGCATTTCGCGCACTCGACACGCACGATCTCCGCAGAGGGTTGCCCGCGCGCAGGACAAATCGCACTCTCGCCTGCATTTCACGCACTCGACACGCACGATCTCCGCAGAGGGTTGCGCGCACACTGGACAAATCGCACTCTCGCCTGCATTTCGCGCACTCGACACGCACGATCTCCGCAGAGGGTTGCGCGCACACCGGACCACTCTCGCACTCGACACGCAGGATCTCCGCAGAGGGTTACATTTTCGGTTGACGCTGTTCGTCCCACCCTCCGCCTTTAAGAGAGAATTTATAAAATGGGGAAATGTTTTTCATTAGGACATCTCCCGTGCAAGTTATCATTAGGACATCTCCCGTGCAAGTTTTCCATACTCACACTTGCATACTCATTAGGACATCTCCCGTGCAAGTTTTACTTTTGCACTTGGATACTTGCCGTTGGATGCTTTCACTCTTCCACTTACACTGGGATACGTATAGAAGTGTCAGTGTTCAAGTGTAAGTGTGGAAGCGTAAGTGTCCAACTGTACGTGTAGAAATGTCAGTGTTCAAGTGCAAGTGTGGAAGTGTCAGTGTGTAAGTGTAAGTGTAGAAGTGTCAGTGTTCAAGAAATTTTCCGGAAGAACCCTTCGCAATGCTTTCGGGAACAAACTTGCCCCATGGCTCAGATCATTGGTGAGCATTGAATCGGAGCATCATAGGATTTGAACTATCCTGAAACCATAAGAGGCTCACGAAGACGTTCCCCAGGAGAGAATTGACGTGCTTCACAAAACAAACTCTAGGTATGTATCCCCTCGGGGAACACCTTTCGTGATTAGAATTTCATATGCAATCTTTCTCAGTGTTCAAGAGGGTTTCAACTATCCTGAAATCATGAGAGGCTCACGAAGACGTTCTCCAGGAGAGAATTGAATTTAGTGGGGGGG